AAAGAACTACTCTCATACACAACAAGTGACCTAATAGAGCACCACAATATCTTACGTTGTTGTTTGAGTTTTTAGGGTCTTATTCTCTCATATTGTAGATAAGCTCCTATGATATAAAGGAGTGTAGATCGTTTCACCTTTATTTAAAAATGAGAGGAAACCTATATATTTATTGTCAACAAATGATAGTATTAACATGTGTTTATTGTATCTTATCAGAAACGTTACAATTCTTCTGAAAATGTCACAATTAATTTTTAATATGAAAAGATGTCTGCTTATTAAACATTCAAGTTACCTAGGTTAAAAATTAGAGGAACTCATCTATTTATAATAAAAAAAGAATATTATTAACATCTATTTATTGAGCCTTATCAGAAACGTCACAATCCTACACAAAAATCATAACTCTTCAAAAAGTCACAATCCATGAAAAAAATCATAACCCTACTGAAAAAACACAATCCTTCCATATAAAAAGATATTTACTGTTAATATAATATAAAAAAGTAAATATATTTTTAATTACACACTACAAAACACACACTTCAGTAGTAGCCAACAAGTAAGGCAATATGCGGCGCCGCCTCTACTGGAAGAAAAGACAAATGCCTTCTCGAAGAAAAAAAGTGTTGCCTTGAGAAAAAAAGGCACGAAAAATAAAAAAGAGTTTTGGTCCAAATCAATGTTTTCAAAAACGATTTTAGGGGCGAGTTCTGAGTGAATTTCGCAGTGGGCCTATTAAAATTCCTCCGGGATTCAAATTGAAGATGTAGATCTATAGGGCGTAAGTCTTAGAGTTTGGGGCGTAAGCTCCTAGCGTAAAAATATAAGTCTTGGATATAAAAATGTACGCACTGGACATTATTTTATTTTTTTGGTTTTTAAACCTTTTTTGCTTTAAATCATAATTTTTTTTAGCAACTTTCACATATAGCAAACATAAAAATCACATTTGTATGTTATAGCTATAGTTTGTATAATTGCGTTCTATAACAAATTTTATGTTTGCTATGGAACTTTTGATTTGTATAATTCGCTAGAAACATCCAATTTTATACAAATTGTTCAGTTTTGTATAAATTCATTTATACATTGTAATTTGTATAATAAGATCTGTATTTGTATAACTATAAGTGTATAAGACGAAAATATATGTATTTGTATTTATATATACATTTTCTCTCGCTTTATACAAACACAAACGCATTTTATACATTTTATATTGAAATGTATAAAATGGTTAATTGTATACCGAAAATGGCTAATTGTATACCGAATGAGATGGCAAAAAAATGGGATCTTTGCTGCGAATTACAATTAAAATAAACTATGGCTATAACATTTAATTTGAATTAATAATTTGTTATTTCATACAATTTTCCCTTTTTATTATTGATGTAATGATTTTTCTCAAATAGTAATTGTAATACTTCTTTTTCTTCATTATTGGTTATTAATACATTTCTCAAATAAAAATCATAATATTTTTTTCTATATATTATAGGTTATTTATTAAAATTTATTTGTAAAAAAATTGATTTTTTTTTTGCTTATTTTCTTAGTAATAAAATTATAAAATTGAATATACATGAGACTTCACCCCGTAGATCCATAAGACTTACGTCCATGTCTCGAGGCTTATGTCTCATCCCGTACTACATAAAACGTCTCGCCTCACGCCTTAGCCTTTTAAAATACTGGTCCAAATTAATCAAGCTATCATGCAATGTTCTCAACATGTGCGGGTACAAAATCAAATTTTATAAAGAGGTCTCTTATTTTTTTTAATGGACATACATAAATTGAATAATTATAATATATTTAGTATAGTTCTATAAATGAGGTTTGAAAAAATAGTATATACGCGGACATCATGAAGCAATAATGTAAACAATATAAATTTTCAATGAAAGATATATAACACAAAGTTAGAATAATAAAATTTGACTCAAAATTTGAAAAAATTATATAATGATACTAAAATAGTGTTGCGTTGAATTTGATAAGTTGATATAATAATATTAAAATAGTGTTGATTAGTTTTAGTATTGAATTAAAGAAAACATCAAAAAACAAATTTGTACTTTTAAAAACACGCAACAATAGATTTTGCATAATGTAGAAGGTTTGAACTTTGACCGTTTGAGAGACTTTCATAATGAGAGATTAAAAATTGTGAAAGAATAATATGAAAAAAAGTGAATATAAGAATAATAATGTTGGCTCATGATAATTGCAGGATATAAAATAAGGCAACAAATAAATAGCCACATAAAAAAGGATGATACAATACAATAAACTAAACATTATTCTATTTCTCTGACAACTATTCTTATATTAAATAAGGTAAAAGTTATTATATTATCTACTTTTTTTTAAAATTCTATCTATGTATGATATATTTTTATAGAGTAGTGCTAAATGGCAAGACACTTTTTTGGCATGAATTGGCAAGACACGGCGAAATGACCAAATAGCCCTTAGGTGACAAAACTACTTGTGGTTTTCCCTCCAAAATAGAAAACCACTCTTTGACTTTTTCTTTCTTATTTTCTCTCTCTCTTACTTTACTCTTTTTTTTTTCTTTACTTCACTCATTAGTTTTATTTTATTTTGTTGTTAGATTTATATTATTTTAATTTGTTGACATGTACCATAACTAATTGTATTATCCGATTATTGATTATGCTTATATAATCGCATTCAACTGACTTGTATTTGTGAGAGAGCATAACTCATATAATACTATATCTATTACATTTATTTCATCATAATGATTCGACTTATAATAGTGAAAAATCTTCAATTTTTGTGAAACAATTCAAATATAAACTTTTACAATCATATTTACCAAAGTAATATAAAATTAAAAATTATTTAAGTACTAATAGACATTGAATTTTTAGGATAAATTTTAACATTCTATTATTTTATTAATAAATGGTCCGTAATGATTTTACGTATAACCCTCTTCAAAACTGAAAAAAAAATTGTTCTCTTTGTTAGTATTCATGTGTTTCTCTTTATAATAATAAAATTTTATTCAATTTACTTCGTAGTTTAATTTATAGTTTTATTTTGATATTGTTGATATTGCTTTTTCTTGTTGATATGACTCGTAATTTTATTGATTATTTTTATTTAAATCAAATATTAACAAGACATCTTAATATATCGTCGTTAAATAATAAAATCATTGGAAATAATTTATCATATTTCTTTAAAATGATTAAATTCTTAGATAATGCGTAATTTTTTTTTTTGAAGGATCCTATATAGATGTACCCTATAAAAATTTTATAGTATTGTATATTTTTGAGAAGTCCACAAAAATTAAAAAGCAAGAAAAATAAAAAAGGTTAAAGTGATGACAAATTTCACCTAGCTTGAATTTCAAGAATAAAATATCGTATAAATTAACGGAAAGAATATGTATTTATATAGGTATTTATGGATGCTTTCCATTTTTTTAATTTCATGAAATTAGTATAAAAACTTATGTAATTTAAAATTTATAAATTTTATTTACACTTACAAAAAGAAAAAAAATGTTATAATAAAAAAAATTGTAATTAATTATATTTTATAAATTAACAAATAATTTTATCTAACTATTTTTAGTAATATAAATAATTAATTTTAAAATGTTAGAAATTGAATGAATATTTTCTTTTTGGATTTCATATTTTTATATTTTCCATGAATAAAATTATACAAGTATGGAAGTAGAGAAATTTGAAACATTAATTTGAAAAGAAAAGTCAATGAAAAAGAAGTAAAAAAAAAGTAGGAAAGAGGAAAAAAAAACGTTTAAGAAGAGAGAGAAAATCATTTTCTGAAATGGGACCCAACACTTTCCACGTGGCACAATATAAGTGGAGCCGATGGTCAGTCAAAATTTTTGCATGAATTGACAAGACACGGATAAATGACGAAAATGCCCCTTTTGCTCCAAAACCTCTTATATTTCCCTCCAAAAATGAAAATCACCTTTAACATTTTAATAATTATTTGCTCTCTCTCTTACTTTACTCTTTATATCACCTTCCACCACCTCTCCTACATCTATCACTCTTCACTCTCATCCTTTCTTATTTTAATTTGTTGATCAAGAATTTATTTTTTTGTTGGTTTTATATAATTTTAACAAAATGGAATCGACTAGTCAGAATAGCCAATTAAACGATTTATTGAATAATGTTTTGGGGTTAGAGGAGGATGATAGTTTGTTGTCCCAAAATGATGAACATCATGAAGATTTCGATGATGCATACGATGGGCCTGAACATTATTTGCATAGTGATGATGAAGATGTTATTAACAAGTTCTTTGAAGAAATGAATCAACCGGAGCAAGAGGAATTAATAAGTGTTAGTGACGGAGAGGAATATGAAGCTGAAAAAGAATGTGAAGAACAGACAGATTCAGCCAATGATGATAATTTTTCAGACCAACAATATATGGAAGGCCCTCTTGTAGATATGGTCTATTGTAGTGTAGAATCTCTTTTTGCTTTTTATAAAGAATATAGTCGTTTAAATGGATTTGGAGTTCTTAAAAAGACTTCAAAAAAAAGAGGTTGTGAATACGCTAGGTACGTCTCATTCGCTTGTGATAAGAGTAGAAAACCAACTGCTAAGAATTATAGTAAAAGGGTTGATTGCAAATGCAAAGTTAATTGTGTTGTGCTGCCTGATGGTTCATGTCGCGTAACAACAGTTACGACGGAGCACAACCATGAGTTGCAACCATCTTTAGCACGTTTTTTTGGTTGCCACAGGAAAATAAGTAAGTCATTAAAATGAAAACTTGAAGCTTATGACATCGCAGGAATTAGACCTGCCAAAAGTATTAGACTTTTGGAAAAACAAGCAGGTGGTCCAGATAGAATGGGATGCACACCTAAAGATTGTCGAAACTACATTCTTCAACAACGCAGGATGAGGACATTGTCATGCGATGCTGCGGCAATATAGAAATTTTTCGCTTTAATACAGATGAAGGACGATGAATTTTTTTATGTAATTGACACGGATAATGTTGGTAGACTTCACAACGTAGTGTGGGTTCACACACATTGCAAGTATGCGTATCGGGAGTTTAGTGATGTTGTTTGTTTCGATTCAACGTACTTGGTGAATCAATGGCGCATGCCGTTTGCATCTTTTGTTGGTGTGAATCAACACAAACAATCTATTATTTTGGGTTGCGCTTTGCTCACAAGTGAGGATATTGAGACATATAAATTTGTTTTCTCTACTTGGCTGGCAGCAATGAGCAATGCACCTCCAACGGCTATCCTCACTGATAAATGTGAGAGTATCAAGGCAGCAATTGCAGAGGTACTTCCAGACACCATCCATAGGTACTGTATTTGGCATATTATGACAAAGCTGCCTGCAAAGCTTAAGGGTGTGTGGGACTTTAAGACTGCCAAGTTCGATTTTAAATCAATAATCTATAACAGCATTACTATCAACGAATTTGAGGAAAAATGGGTTGGCTTTATTCAAAAATACGAGCTTCAGCATAGACTATGGTTTCATAATCTATACTTAGAGAAGGAAAAATGGATCTCTATCTTCCTGAACCACTATTTTTGGGCTGGCATGATGTCCACCCAAAGAAGTGAGTCAATGCATGCATTTTTTGATGGTTATATATCCGATCGAAGCTCTCTAAAGCAGTTCGTCGAGCAGTATGAGTTAGCCTTGCGATTTAAATATGAGAAGGAACTTCAAGCAGAAGCTGACTCACGCAAAAAGCATGCAGCGCCTTGTAGTGGTTTTGATTGGGATTTGCAGCTTCAAACCCATTATACTCGACCTATTTACGATGCCTTTGCAGCAGAGCATTTGAAGCGGTTGTACCACTGTGAAATTGAAAGACACCATGACTTCAATGCGTGGAGGGAGTTGAGAAGTACAGTGTAACAGATTATTCCATATCTAATGATTTTCATGGAAATCGATTTGTTTATATTGTGGAATATCAGCCACGGAATCAGTATCTGGATTGCAATTGCAAGAATTTTCAAAGTGAAGGTGTTGTCTGCTGCCACATTTTAAAGACTATGTGTCATTGTAGAATTAAAATGTTACATGACAGATATATTTTACGCCGGTGGAAAAGGGACATAATTCGACCACACATAAGTAAATTCTTTCAAGGAGGCTATCCATCTATGACGGACGAGTACAAGAAGTACAATTCTTGAAGAAATGGTTTGATAGGAATTGTGATGCTGTGTTGGACAACAACGCTAAATATGCAGATTTCAAAAATGTTTTGAAAGGACGTTTCAATGCATATTGTAATTGGAATGACGAAATGGCAGTCCCTAGTGTTGGTGATCCAGACTCGGAAGAAGATGTAACATTCATTAGGAACCGGAGGGAAATTCGAACACGTGGAAGGCCTCCGACTAATAGATGTAGGAGAGGTGGTGGAAGGTGGAATAGAACATATTATCATGCAGATCAAGTGGGTGAGACTAGTCAAGGTCGGAGGGGTGGTGGGAGACGGGGTGTAGGTCGAAGGGCTGGTAGAGGTGGTCGAGCCGGTGGTATAATGACATAGATTATTCATCCTTTGATAATGGTTTGCTTGGTGAAATTGTAGAAAGGGTTGTAGTGCTGATGAAGAAATTACATGGTTTTATGGTGGCTAACAGTGCTTATGATTTAATTATGTCTTTTTATCCGTTTTGTAGCTTTGTTTTTTAATGGTATATTGGTTCGTCATTGTTTACTTTCACATGGATCTATGTTAAATTTTATGAGTAAATTTAGCAAACACACCTAACACTAGAAGTAGATAATGGCTATTTCATAATCATAGATAGAAAACAAAAAAAATTTACATACTAACCCATGCATTATGCAATGAGAGTAAACATAACCAAAAAAAAAAAACTAAAATAAAATACAACAAAAAGGACCTCATCCAGCGTCCTTGTGCGAAACCTACAACTCCAGGTTCCTTTTGCAAGCCCTCTTTTCCTCAGACCAACCATCAAGTGAAGTTCCTTCTCCAACTCGTGGAGTAATTTCAAAAACTCCGTTAGCGCCAACAGCGAAACCATTTAGTGATTTAGCAACCACCTTCTCGTATATTTCGAAAGTTTGGGTGAGGGGTGGTTCATCCATTAAAAGCATCATTTCGACCCACCTCTTACCCTTCCATTCGATCAGCCGCTTCAGGAACTCTGCTATTTCCTCCTCCATTTTCTGGTATGACTCCCGTTTTATGTAATATAACCTTTCCACAACCTCCGGAGAGGTTGGGAATGACATTGCCCTTCTTTTGTTATAAGGAGTTACGTAGTTCTCAGAACTCATATTTTTTCAAGTAAGTATAAATTTATATTTTGGAATGGTTCTGTGTGTGAGGAATACATTTATTGGGAGTTTCAATTTATAGTGAAAAGATTGGAGCCAAAAAGTGACGTGTTTGGCTCCCAAAAATTTATTTATCAAAGATAAAAGAGAAGGAACGATTATTTATCTATTTTTTACTACAACATTAAAAAATTTACTATTAAATTTGTCACTAGATAATAAAGAACCAAAATGTGAGAATGGATGGGATTATTCACTCTTCTTTTTTAATCCATTTATTGAACAAGTTTTTTAGAAGGTAAGAATATAAAATGTTACGTGTGTTCAAAAATAATTATTTGATACGAGTAAATTTGTCACTAGATAATTGGTCTCTAACAATTGTTAGTCGAAAAGTAAAAGAAAAATAAATAAAATCTGTGAATGGACGAGAAATAAATGACTAATTTTTATAAGGTAAGAAAATATAGTTCGATTAATTAATTTAATCATTAATATTTCAATGTTACGTAATAATTATTTGAGGCATTTAAAATACAAATTTCATGAAAATTAAATTTTATTCTTATATCAAAATGTAAATAACGTGAAATGATAGAATGAATTAGTTGTTCAAACCTAAAAGAAGTACTTGAGTACACCCAGAGGCTAGGAAGTTGACAAAATTTGAATTTTCTTGCACTCTTCCTTTGTAAGGCAAATCCATTAATTAAGATCTTTTATCGGAAGGTAAGAATATAAAATATAATTAATTAATTTAATCATCAAAATATTCTATGATATAAAATTTTTCAGACCCTTAGTTATTATTATTATTGAAAATAAACTTATTCTTATATAAAAAATTTGTAGTAGTAAATATAACAAAGGCGAATCGACGGAATAGTTTTATTATTTTTTCAAGTCTAAGATAAGTTCTTGAGTACACCTAGAATTTTGACAAGATTTGATTTGATAAGTTGAATTTCTTACACTCTTCTTTTTTAAGATCAATTTTATTGGAAGATAATAATTTAAAATATAATTAAATTAATGCATTATCAAAATTTATTATGATATAAGTTATTTCAGACCTTTAATTATTAATTTCATAGATAATAAATTTAATCAAAAACTTTGAGTCGAAAATTAAAATAAAATGAACGGGATGCGACGCAAAAATAATAACATAAATATGGGGACCTAACCTAGACTCGAACTCATGACTAATTGACTAAACGTTTAATCTTGCTTTAAACATTTGCGCTGCAATAGCATTCGTTTATAATTACGAAAAGAACTATATTTACGCTTCTTAATGAATATCAACTCTCTCGTAGAAGGAGTAGCTAGTTGTCTTTGGGAAGTGTGTGGAAACTTTATGTACAAGCTATTAACTTAGGGAAGACAAACACTCAAGTTAGATTTTCGGATTCAAAGAATTTCAAGTTTGAAGAGTTGTGACTTATCAGTTGAGATGAATGGTATTGAGAGTGCTTCGGAAGTTGTTTCGTAAATCAGATCATTTAATGAAGGGGATTGTGAGAAGTAGTTGTCTAGGTATTCGTTTCAAAAAGCTACTCTCTTCTATTTCCATTACTGACTATTTTTATTGACCGACTCTTTTATTGAAAGATTTATCTTCTAAGTTAATTCAATGAAAAATATTATGTGTGAAGTTGTTTGTATCTAAAATACAAAATAAACATATAAGTATCTCTTTTAACCCTACAAATTATTTTATAGGATGTGCTATCACAAAATTACAATCCACATGGATTGAACATCCATTTTCAATTAATGATAAGGAACTCTTAATGATCATTAAGTTTCAATGTCTAATCTATGGGAAGAATAAAAAAAATAGATTTTTTTATCACATTAATAAATGCAAAATAAATACAGTTTGCCACATTTAATGAAAATCATTGAATTCAGAGGAATAATTCGGCTAGATAACTTAATGTAATAAAATCCCTACATTTTTTAATTCATATAATCATGAATGTATCATTTTTTATTTTATAACTTTTATCATTACATATAACTCATTTAATATTATATCCTTTAGATTTATTTTCATCACAAGGATTCAACTTGGAATACTCAAAAATCTTCAATTTTTGTCAAGAAGATCTAAATATAAACTGTTACAATCTTATTTACCAATTGTCTTTACCCCTTGATCTTCATATACACCGCCTATGAAGATAGATATTATGCCAAAAGCATATTTTGCAGCGCCGTATCCTCCTTTTGAAGCTTTGTGAATTAGTTTTAGGGTAGCATCTGGATTTATATTTTTTTAAAATAGTTCTACTGAAAAAAATAATTAAATTAAACACACATCTGTAAATTAAAATGAATTAAGGAGTCGAATACAAACGGAAACAAAATTAAATGTAACACACATCAGTGAAATTTTCGCTCTCTTCATTTTTTTGATTAAAGGCAAATTTTCGGAATCAAAAAAGTTTAAATTCAAAATGAACTTTTCGGTGTTTGGCAGTAAAAGTGAAATGAAGAGTTTGAAACCCTTTTAAGTAGTGACAAATTGTGACTTTTCGTTATGTGTAGTGATGTACTATTTTGCGGGCAGATTACACTGTGTAACAATGAATGGAAATGAATTGTACTGACAGTGTATTGAAAGTTATTCCAAAAATCAGATCATTTAATGAAGCGGATTGTGTAGTTGTCTAGGCATTCGTTCCAAAAGCTACTACTTGAGAGGAGCCGCATCGTCTCCTCTTTTCATTACTTCATCCGTTTTTATAATGAAAGATTTGTCTTCTAAGCTAATTTAATGACAAAAAAATACTTGCAATAATATAGTTCGAACAATATATTATGTGTGAAGTTTTAGTTTATTATATTAGTATATTTTAGATTTTATGTTATTTATATATATCATAAAAAGAGTTGTTTGAATCTAATTTTCAAATTATAAAATAAACATATAAGTATAGTTTGTAACAACTCCACAATCAACATGCAATGAACATCCATTTTCAAATAATTGATAATCATTGAGTTCCAATAAGCTATGGGTAGAATAAATAAATGCATTTTGAATGACATTAATAAATGCATAATAAATACATTTTGACACGTTTTAATGAACATCAATGAGTTCAAAGGTTAAATTGGGGTTGATAGCTTAGAGAATGTAATAAATACCTTACATAAATCATACAACAATAATTGACAATTTAGAATGTTAAAAGACATAAAAATTTTTTTACCATAGTTAACAATAATTAAAAATTTAAACTATTTTAAATTAATATTAAAGTTTGACTAACTCTTTAATTTTGTCCTTGTCACATAAATTGAAATAAAAAATGATATATATTGGGTCGTGCTAGCACGGGCTCCGATGTCTAGTGTATATATATATATATGACAAATCAATAATAACAATAACAATAATATAGTTCATACTAATCCAATTATCTTGAACATGTAATAATTATGTTGGAGATGTCAAATTTCTTCATCACTGCTACATCCATAGCAATGCTCTTCTTCTTCATCCTCTGCACTATCCCATTCTTGCAAACAAGAGGAACATGCTTAATAGTGCAACAACGCGGTAGTTTATTATAGTCCACTAAATCAAATAACTGAAAAAAATAGGACAAAATATCTTTAAATCTATGTCGATACTGCCTTGTTATCGCTCTTTGTTTTTGAGTGACTTTCATTTCGCCAATTGTCTTTAACCCCTCGCGGCTATATTTACCGCCTATATTCAAGTCAAATGGTCAAACTTGCACATTCTTGTCAACTACAATATATAGAAGATTGATATATTTGAACAAAGGTAGTTTAATCAACTCGGATTTGTCGTTGATTTATTATTCCAAATTAAAATTATGAACGAAAAGGAAACAAAAAAACACTATTTAAAATGACAACGTATGGAGACCCAAATTTGGTAGAAATAGAAGTAAACCTTACCCAAAAAAATACGAAAAAACTCAATAAAGTATGAAATTAAAGTGATATGTTAGAAAAAAAAAGAAAATAATAATAATATATATATATCATTTATTTGAGGGAAAATTAAAGTGATATGTTAGAATTTTTAAAATTTTTCTTGGATGAATTCAAAGAAATTGAAGATAGTGAAATTAAAAAAAATAAATTGAACTCTCACCAATAAAGTAAAAAATCACTCAAATATTTTAATTATTTAAATTTTAGTCAAAAATTTATTTTTTGAGATTTCAATTTTAATCACTCAATTTTTAATTGCCAAATATATTTTTATTTTTATCTATTCTATAACCACTTAATGTTTTTAATGTTTAATATTAATAAAAAATTTCGTTCTTCATCTTTTTTCAATGCAAAAATCCATTTTTCATTTTATCTTTGCATCTTCTAAAGCTTCTTTTTTTTTAGTTCTACCTCTCAGTGTAAAAAACATTTATTCATACTACTATTATTTTGTGCTTTCACAAATTTATTTGGTTAATTTTTTTTTATAATTAATTTTATCTTTGTAAATAAACAAATAATTTTATATAACTATTTTTAATAATATAAATAATCAATATCGAGATAAATAATAATATCAAAATGTTAGAAATAGAATGAGTCCGGTAAATTTTTTTGGATTTCATATTTTTCATGAATAAAGTTATTTAAGTGGAAGTATAAAATTTGGAAGAATTGTTAGAAAAGAAACTGAAGTAAAAAAAGTAAGAAAGAGAAAAAGAAAACGTTAAAAGGTTAAGAGAGAAAGATGTTTGGCCATTTGAAATGGATCCACTTGGCAAAATATAAATGGGCCTTATACAATTTTTATCTGTCACATCATATTTGTGCCTCATGGATATTTCAAAAGTTGTGGTTTTAAAAGTATTAAAAGTGGTTTTACTTTTGAGGGTAATTTAGGTACACGAAATAATTGAATTTACCCAAACATCCTTAACTTTTCACCGAAATTACGAAAATACTTTGACTTTTGTTGCTCGTGTCATTTCGTGTCAAAAATCTGTCTTGCCAATTATATTTTCCGATTTTTATATTCATAATTTAACTCAAAAAGTCATGGATTCAAATCCTATTCACACCATAGAATCTGCTTGTAAGAAATTATGTGTCATTGTTTGGCGTCTCAAAGATTTGGGTGGAATAATACAAAAAGTTATGTACGACCTTAGAGTCACAAAATTAAAGCAAAGATTACTAATGAACAAATAATGTTGATGCAAGAGGTGAGGTCACATGGATTGATAATGATGTCTCCCTAGGTGAAATTATGAGGTATTTTCTAAGATTAAACATAATAGATACTAATCGATTCACATTTGTTTCCTACTTCACTTCGTTTACAACAACAACAATAATCCTAATATATTTGATGTAGTTTTATAAGTAGTTTTGGGAGGATAAATATACATTATTTTATTTCTACTTTAAAAGATAGAAAGATTGTTTTGACAGACTCAATCCGCTCAAGTAAAAGCATTTTAAAATAATTTGAAAAAAGAAATAGAAAGCGAAGAAGTCGTAAAAGAAAATGGAAAATGAAAAAAGCATGACAAAGTATGTTGAAATGAATAGTAACAGCAACAAAATAATTAGATAATTGAAGTACGAAAAAAAACAACAAAAATTAAAAAAGAAGTGCATATGAGAGTACATATTACTACTGGTATGGAAAGAGAAGCTAGACAACATAATTATTTGCTGACCTTCTACATTGAATCACCTCTCCTGAACAAAAGTTAATTGATTGCTTAGAAAATATTATTCCGTACTCATAAACAAAACAAAAACAGAAACATTAATCATGCCACTATAAAGAGTAGATCATTTGTCTTCTTGTCTTAATCGTTCGGATCAGATCTAATTAATTAATTTTGGAAATTTAACACTTGATTTTATAAAATAAACTACAAATTAAATTCCTAAATAATATAACTTAATTTTGACTAAAAGGTGCTTTCATCCTTCCAAAACAATACTTAACTATGTTAATAAGATTGGACTCTCACTTGCATTGTTTAATATTGATATTCACACAACTAATTTACTATAAATTGTACAGTAAGTCTTGAAATGGAAGGAAAGGGGACTTTGTTTTGGTTAAAAAAGTAGTTGGAACATAAAAAGTACATTTTGCAAAGTTATGCTTCTTTCCTATCAAATTAGACTTTAGTGTATAAAGAGTTCATCCCAAAAGTGATGGCCTTATATTTGCTCTTAAACTACTAAGTTAGGTATATAAATCGTACACTTTTATTCTAGGAAACCTTTTACTCATCTCTAATTAATAATAAGCATAGATAAAAGTTGTTCTTGAACCAAAATCAGTTTTTAATCATTACAACAAATGATAGATTTTATGATAATAATATAATTATCGTTATATTATATTTAGTGGTAGTAATATAATATGAATTACAATCAACATTTTATACAAATATTATTCAAAACTTTAGTGACTTTGAATGCAATAACATTAGTTCAAGTGCCACCAAATATTTTTACAGGTATAAATATTATCGTTAAAAAAGAAAATTTATTACCAGTAAATGTCTTTTTAATTTGTTATAGTGTACGATGAATGGCGTGTTGGATTTGAGTATGTGGTCGTAATTAGTTAAAAAGGAATTGGACTCCTAATTAATGGTGTCGGTAGTAGAATAGACAAATGTAGTTGATATATTAAAGTAAGTAGATATTATTTTCATCAAAGTAGAAAAATACTGATCAAAGATGAGCAAATAATTTTCAACAAGCCAAAAGAACTAAAAAAATTGATTGTTTGGACAGATTTAATTCTTATTATTTCGTAACACCTAACTTTGTATATGACGTTGCCTGCTGTGGACAATTTTTTTTTTCCAATTATTATTGCGATTTAGGTAATTCAAGGTTGTTGTTGTTGTTGTTGTATTTAATATAACTTATGAGTAAAGACATGTATATTTACCCACTTAAATTTTATTTTATTTTTTAATGGTGTCACCATAAACAGTTGAAAAAATAGTACGTAACTATTCTCATAACTCAAAATTGTCTAAATTGTAATATAATTTCGATAAATGTCCAGTTAAAATTACACGATAAAATGTTGTACTCTTTTTGTTTCACTTTACTTGATCTTTATTGATATAACATTATTTCCCTTAACTTATTTTATTAAATTATTCTTATTAATTATTTTTTAAAATCTTAATTCAACTACTATTTTACTATATAGTCACTTAATAATAAGCATAATCTTGAAAGAAAAAAAGAAAAAATCTATTTTAACTTATTAAAATAAACGAGTAAAAAATTATTTTTTAATATAAAAATCAAATAAAATAAAACTGCGAAAATGGTCTACGTCTACGTCTGGGGCAAGTCCTCATTAAGAAAAGAGTGTCCTGTCGTTATCCTCTTTTCTTTTAATTTAATTTAATTTGGAAAATTTGTGGTTTTATTCTATGAAAATATTGATAAATTTTAATGAGATTCTTGTGATAATATTCAGTTACACATATAACCTTTAATTAATTAATACAATTGTGCACTTTTGATCATTTTCTATGTGTGAATCTTCGTAAATTTAATAAATTATCAATTGTTGATCAAGTTATTTAATTATCCATGCATGTGTTTCTGTTAAATCTGTGCAATTACTTTTTATTTGAGTTTAGGGCGAGCATACTAAATAGCATTGTGAATATTTGTAGAGGCAAAGGTACCGTGAGATATAAATTTCATTAGTTTGGACGTACATTTAGACGTACTTGAACGAATTTTATGTTCAGAAAACCTCTTCTAATTAAAATTAAAATTAAAATTGTGAAACAAGTCCTTAAATTAATACTAAAAAACTAAAAATTCAACTTTTTATTAAATTTAAAGAAGTTAAAAGAAAACTTAAATATTTAAATACATTTTATTCCTAATCCTAAATTTTACTTTTTCTCTTCACCTTTTACCGGTTAAAGAAAGGAAATTATCAATGTGCAAACTGCAAAGCAAAAACATGTCATTCTTCATCACTTGTTCTGATTTGATGTTTTTGATTGTAGGATCCTTCGTTTATAAATCTCTACTCAATTGTTTTGAAAAAATAAATTTGATTAGTTTTTTGAAATGATTCTTTTTTTCAGGATTGTTGATTTTGATTTACATTTTAAGATGAAACAGTTCTATATATATTTTTACGTGTTTTATACTTATTAAAATTTCTATATAGTTTTATATTTTTTATGCATATGTATACCGAAATATACAGATTAATAGCCATAGCAAACATAAAGTTTGCTATGGAGCGCAATTATACAAACTATAGCTATAACATACAAATATGATTTTTATGTTTGTTATATGTGAAAGTTGTTCTTTATTTAATGATAACTTACAATAATTTCACTAGTATATGAGCTAATTACTTAAATGCATGTTATGTTGTAATATTACGAATCTTACCAAATCTCAAAAAACAATTAATTGCAGAAGTAGTGAAGGAATTGGCTGAAGTTTGACCTGATTTTGCTTGGAAAAAGGATGAGTTGATGAATGGTTGCAGTCCTTTACATATAGCATGCAGTAAAGGGCACTTAGATATAACAAGAGAATTGTTAAAGCTTGATATGGATCTTTCTGGTTTACAAGATAATGAAGGCAGAACTCCACTTCATTGGGCAGTCATTAAAGGAAGAGTGAACATTATAGCTGAGATACTCTCGGTGAGTCTTGAATCTTCTGAAATGACAACAAAACATGGTGAGACAATTCTTCATTTGGCTGTAAAGAACAATCACTTTGAAGTACTCAAGTTCTTGATGTTTCAAATCTCATGAATTTTCAAGATACTGATGGAAACACCATTCTACATTTGGCTACTGTTAGGAAACTCACCACTGTAAGTTTTCTTTACTCTAGCCATTTCATTTTATGTGAAGGTGTTTGATTGAACGCACAGAGTTTAAGAAAGACTTCTTTACATTCTTGTGGTTATATGTTATGTCTGAATTTGCGGTCAAAACTCGAAAACTAAACATAGATGAGTCTTTTCTTAAAAACTCGATGGAATATTTGAGTCTTTTTCCTTAACTATTAGTGAAATTAGTTTATTGGATTGCAAAACAGAGTTGCACTACTTGTATACTAAAGCTCAAAACTAATTTTTCTCTTGTATACATGACTTGTTCGCTCTTCAGCTGGTTATTTATCTACTTAAGCTTGTGCCGGGGTTGAAGTAAATGTTTTGAATCAAAAAGGATATACATCATTAGATGTAGTTGAAGCAGATGCAAGTAACTCTGGTGCTATTGCAATCATCCCTGCATTACTAGAAGCTTGTGCCAAAAGATGTGACCAATTACCACCAAATTTTCAAGACATCCAACAGGTAGATGCATCACCAATTTTGGGATCATCATGGCAAAGAAAAACTACTAGTTTTCTGTCTCCGTCCTCATCATCTCAACATTCGTATTACAATAATAATCATCATCAAAGGAAGCACAACAACAATAATTATTGCGGTACTAGGACAAAAAATTAGGCTCCAAAGTGAAGGTCTAAGAAATGCAAGAAAAACGATAACAATTGTTGCAGTACTAATAGTAACTGTGACATTTGCTGCTGGTGTTAATCCTCCTGGTGGATTTAATCAAGAAAATGGAAAAGCTTTATTGGGTAAAAAAACCGCGTTTAAGGTGTTTTTGGTATGTAACATTGTGGCACTTTTCCTTTCCCTTGGAATTGTTAATGTCCTTGTTAGTGTTATCCCATTCAAGAGAAGAACAATTATGAAATTAATGGTGGCAACACACAAAGTAATGTGGATTTCTACATTATTTATGGCATCAGCTTATATAGATGCAATATGGTCAATATTGCCAAAAGGAAAAGGGGATCATTGGGTGCTAATTGAAGTTGTGATCATAGGAGGAGGGTGCACTATGGCTGTGTTTCTAAGTTTGGGTATTTTGTTAGTGAGACAATGGAAAAGGAAGAGTGAATGGAGAAAACAAAGAGAGGATCATAAGAAGATGAAAGATGGAAGTCCTAAGAGTAATACATGAAGTACAGTTCAAGAAATGAAAGTGGTGAAGAAAGAAAGTCATGAAGGTAGTACTAACTCAGACGTTGATAGCTCAGATCATGGTTACCATTTGTTTTTATTACCTGCATTCATAGATCTATTCTCGCAAGTCTTTAAAGTAGAAAATAATGTATTAGTTTCGGAAAGAGCCTCTCTATCTCCACGAGGTAGTAGTAAGGTCTGCTTACATTCTACCCTCTCCAGACTCTATTTAGTGGAATTTCACTGGATATGTTATTGATATACTTTAAGTTTCTAATATGAAAGCTAATATGTTATTAGTTTGGCTTTAGTGTTGTGTTCTCCTCTATTCGTGATTACCTTAAACCAATACAGTTTAATTTATAAATGTGGTTGGTGTTATGATTTTTTGGAGAGATGCATGCAAGCAAAAAATATGAATGAAAAATGTTCTCATATAAATTTTAATAATCATAAACAAACTAGTAGACAACTCCTATGGTTAAAGTATTAGACTCTTTACCAAAACTAAGTTTGAGGCTGATAACTCAACTTTCTTCTTGATTGACATATGTTAACATAATTTATGCATCCTCATTTGTAATATCATCATGGAGTGTATTAAAAATTCTGTGGTGATCAGAAAGTACTTAGTTCTCTCTAGCTCTTTGTCACGACCTAGACCGTCGTGAGTGGAACCCACACTAACCCTCCGGTGGGAGAACCATAACTATAACCCAACTAAGCAACTTAACCAAAAACTAAATATTTAAAACTACGGAAGCAGGTTTAAATAACTAAATAGATAATACGGAGTTCACATAAACTCCGAAAGTCTTAACAAACAACTAATGAACTGTTGCGGAAAACAACCCCTAGAACCTGGAAGTCATTGTATCAAAACATCTAAAGTTCAACAAGTCTAAGGAAAAGGGGTACAACCCCAACCAAACATAAGCAAACTACTAAAATATGTCTAAGTTCGAAAAGAATGGACTAAGCAAAATGAAAGACTCCATAGTAGCCTGAAAGAATTGGCTCACCCTTGAAATCCGGTCTCGATCACTGATCTCCTAATTGAGGTCTATCAATAGCCGCCTGAAGATGCCCTGTACTCAACAAAGAACGAAAAAGTGCAGTATCAGTACACAACTACAGGGTACTGGTAGGATCACACGGCTATTCCAGTAAGCACAATATATATATAAGCAATCACAACATAGTAAACAAACATATACAAAGTATATATACAATTATCATTTCAGGAACAATGTTCAATTCCACATTCTCAACAACAATTAGCTATGATAACACAATGGTCCTCTCATGGAACCCATACCCAAACTGTTAGTGTGTCGAAATGTGACACCTGATCTCAATTAGTGTGTCGGAACGTGACACATGATCCAATGTATGTGTCAGAACGTGACATCCGATCCCAATTAGTGTGTCGGAACGTGACACTTGATCCAATGCATGTGTAGGTACGTGACACCTAATCCAATCAACATAACCACAACCACAACCACAATCACACTCATAATGTACATTCTCATAATCATACAATCAAGTGTTGATTTATGGCATACAATGGTCATTCATACTCATTTACATTAGGTTTGATCAATAATGCTTCATTCACATACATACACATCACACAAACATGAAATCAAACCATCACCTATCTCGAAACCAAGATTAAATCACCCTAAGGCACTTAAATCTTTCCTTTTCGGATTCATTCCGCTTGTTCTAGGTAATATAACGCAAGGATCAATAAATTAAGGTCTAATTATCTAGATTATAACAACTCAATAACCCAAGACCAAACCCATGATCCTAAGATGCATCTAGGGCTTTTTCTCACCATCAACTTTAGGCCAAAACCCTCTCTCAACAATAATTACCCATGAATTTACATTCTACGAATCGAAAAACGGATTAGGGGAGTAAAATCCTTACCTTTAGCACCAAAAGTCGTG